CTTTCTCCCAATCCACATGACAGGTTTTGCATGCTACAGTTGATCAGTCAAATATTTCATTGTTCTGCACATTCTTCAGCAATTGTTCATGGGTTGTTTTGGGGCATCATTTTGCCGAATTATCCCCAGAAACCCACAGACAGTAGAATGTCCAATCAATTTCTTGTCATGACTGCCAAAATGCACTTTTGTTTAGCCTCACTTATACAGAGTCTCACTTATACAGAGTAACATATTTTTAGCCCATGAACTTCCGCACATTTTTTACGTTGTACGTCGCTAGGTATATTTTTTCACAGAAAGTGTGTGCTGTAAATGTGTCTGGCAATAACAATACCGCCGTTTCACAATAGTGCGCCACCAAGAGTTTGCAACGCGTTGGCCAATCACAATGCGGGAAATTTCTCGACGCAGTGCGCGTTTGGAAAGGGTCGACAAATTGTGCGCGTTGTGATTGGCCAATTAACGCATTGCAAACTCTTGGTGACGCACTATTGTGAATCGCCCGTTCTGTATACAGAAACTCCTGATTCGTATGCAGTCGGGGCAGTAAAACTGTATCACGGTAATACTGCACGAATAGCGAGTTTCATTTTGGTAGAGATTCTGTTTTCAGTTTGAAAGTGAAAGAGCAAAAAGGTTTTCAACTGAAATCGAGGCCTGTGCACGCCGTTTTCGGTAATCGTTGAAGAATGTGTCAGGTACAGTACAGAGCGAGCACTGCGCTTTTCTTAAATGCTCTAATGGTATAGATCTTGTTTCAAAGGTTTATATAAATCGTGTGTTTTGTTGGTTGACTACTACTATCGACTTCCCATGTGCAAAACCAAACCAGCGGTATGTTTGTTGCTGCATTGACGCATCGGTAGGATGTCCCATGAAGCAAACTGCAAGTTCCGTCGTGCTGCGCTGATTACCGTCAAACAGGCCAGTCCAAGAAGTTTGTTGTGCCCGGCGATATTCCTGCACAGTCAGGATACTCCTGGGCGAAACGTCAACGGGCATAATTGTTGTCCGGACAACCTGGAGTGTGGCGTCCGTAAGGGTGGAGAGTTTTAGGTTTTAGTTTGTTTTTGCTCTGTAAAAAAGAGTAACCTTTATTCACGAGTCGTCTAAAACGGAATCGGTTTTTCATTTGGGGAAGCTGGGAATAAATAAAAATGTATGAACTGAAAGTTCTCTACAAATCAATGTCACTTTTAATATTTTAATAAATAATTTTAAATTTGTAATTAGTTATGTTTAAACGTTTTAAGCCGCACAAAAAACTCAAAGTTAGGCGGGGAGAAGGTTGGCCGTAGCACCTCTGAGAGCGAGGCTCTAGTGGGTTGCCTTAAAGACACGGATGCATCAGAACTCTATGTAACATCAGATCCAGTAAACTGCATGGGAAGGCCCTCGATCGTCGTCGAAAAAAAGTAAAAATTCAAATTTTGAGTGGTCGGTTTTGTGCAGCGACTATATAGAATTTTTAAGCTCAAAACTTTGACTCTGGAAAACAGAGTCGTTCTTGGAACGCTTGTCGTGTCTGGAGCAACAAGCTTTCACACCAATCAATTGCAATATACGTGGACGTTTAACACCTAAAAGTAATTTCTGTATTCCACTTGAGTTCTCAAAACGTAAAGTACTCCGTGTACTTTTAAGCCACTTCGTGTCCCGTTAGTCTTTTTGAAACATGATCGATACAATGGGAAGACGCTATTTGAAGTGGGTTAATTTGAAATAAAACATAAAAAAATTCTACACAAACCAGCCAGCGCCCTTCAACTGCGATCTCTGTACCTCACATAGGCTCATGAGTAATGGCTTACCTCGTTTGCAGCCAGTGACCACGCCTTACGTGATCATTTACTGTAGCCCCAACCGTTGGCAATACGAAATGTAGAACTCGTTGACTACAGTTTGAAGCTACTGTTTTGTGACAGTCGCTGTAAGTGCATAACTGTAGTACACTTTCTGTTATCAAGAGGGCATCAGAAATGTAAACGCTGTACAGGAGTTTGTACCCCTCCCTCAGAAGTCGACAGGAAAGGCACGTGTAGATAATTGGCACCGCTAATTGGCTCATCGTTCTGAGCCTCGTTTCATAAGTCGTTTTGGCGCGTTTGTCATGAGCTATTAGGGAAGAGTTGCGTTGAGAGTTGAGTGCGAACAGAGATTGCCTCCCCCCCCAAATATTGCCCTTGACAGAATTTTTTCCCCACGTCCGTCCCCTTGTGTAGACTTATTCGCTCAAATACTTTTTGTCCCCGAAATGAGGAAAGCCTTGAATTTTGAGTCTGAAACCCAGATTCACATGCATAGTAGGAAGCTCGCTAATTGGGAGAAACATAGCCCGCGCAAGACCTCGGTGGCTGTGGGTGCAAGGAAGAACCGCGTATTTGGTACGAACGTACAATTTTATATAATTTGACAAAGTTTTTGTGGGAGCAAATGGGGGTGCAAACGGCTTTTCAGTGGGTGTTGCATGCACATGACATCACGTAGCGCCACTATTGAGAGAGATACAGTTTATGTCGTCATTCAATTAATATGAAAACCCAACACAGGGCTTTACCCCGTTGGAGGCAGCCAGTTGGTATATCGAGTGAAATTTCGTTGGACTTCTCTGTATTGTGAACTACAAATTATTTTTTCCTATGTTTTTCTTGGTAGGAGGGCAACATTTAAAAGTTATTTAAGTCCCAAGCTTCACTCTTTTTTTAATATCTAATTAGAAAATAGAAAAACTATACGACTATATCCCTGGCGGGACTCGAACCCGCAGTCTTCGGTTTAGGAGACCGACGCCTTCTCCATTAGGCCACAGGGACTTCGGCGTCAATTAAAGGTGGAAAACAGCCCATTCAGACGTGGCCTTGTGGGGGAATAAAATCCGGAGATCATTCTTTTCTTGACGATTTCCGCCTTTTCCTTTGGGTGGGGAGAGTTTCTCGTTTTTTCTTCTGTTCAATTGAGAAGGAGTTATAAGTCAAGGAATTTAACCGAGTTATTTTCCACTGGCAGCCGAGCGGGGTGGGAGTGCCCCTCCTCACTATTTCGACCGGGGGCCCTCCTCCCACTTCCTGCAGGGCCTGTAATGGGGTGGGGCTTAATGGATCGACCTATTAATGCATGCTGATGCTTGATGGTCTCCCCCCCCCCCACTTTGAAAAATCGTTCCACCGCCGCTTGCGGTGTCAAGTCTGTTTTCCCAAGTCAAGTCATTTTTCCAGCATATCTCACGTCATTATTGACAGGGTACTCGTCGATTTTGATATATAATAAGTTATTCTTCCCGCTATACACTGTTATATGATGATGTTTGTAATTATAAGACCAAGTATATCCTGTGAAAACAGAGAAATCTGCTTTTACACATCGAAAGGCTCGTATACATTTTTCTTATACATGTGTATTTATTTAAACAAAAGTTGGCAATGCCGACAAGTTGCATTTTGTTCAAATCACGTCCTCCGAGCCAAGTTGCGAGCCATTTTGTTTACAAATCAAGTACACAGTCAAATAAACTGCGACTGAAGTCAATTTCAGTTCCACAAGTCTGAAAAAGTGGTCTTGCCAAGTGACGTTTGCCGTAGCGATTCATCCCGAATGATCAGCCAAGAAACACCGAACCCAGAGTTGTTAATATCATGGAGACCGATTGCGCCAGCTAAATCACGTAACCTTTAGTGGGTTTCACTCCTAGAGCAAAGTTTTGAGTATTGTTTACAAACAATAACGTCAATTTATGGTGAAGTACCCAGCACATCAGTAGTCTGAGTACGGTACCTACCTTCGGCTTCATTTTTGGTAGATGGTACTTATGAAACACTTTGCTTTGGTGGACGCCGTGTTTGTTGAACTTCAGTCCCTACTATAGGTCACGTGACTTTCGGGCGCAATCGGTCTATTTTTGCAACCAAAATGATGGACAGTAAGCACACATAAGCTGTATGCTGTCCTGCACACGTAATGAATAGCCATTTTGGTCCCGGCGCTTCCCTACAGGAATAAGGCAGCTTCAGCCTGACCGACCTGGGCTCAACCGCCAATACAACGTTCCAATATATTTACGGAAAAAAAGAGGGCGCTGTTGACCAGAACTTACCCAGGCACATGCACATGGGTTCTAAAGTTTATGTCTAGTACATGTACAGTACATGTACAGTGGGCACATACAGTACGCGTGAATCAAATGCGTGAGCAGCTTGCAGATGACGAGAGCTTAAAATGTCGCAGCATCAGCAGACCCTTCTCCGAAATTTCATCAAGTTTACGTCATACACAGAAGGACGAGACAAATTATATAGGTCAGTGGTGTCATTTAAATGCCTCCAAGCATCAAGGGTATACAATCTGCCGCCACCAAAAGAGACAGATCATGCAGATAGGCCTAGTAAATATGGTAAAACTAAGAGAGCCACTACAATACAGCCCTACAGTACGTGTAGGGCTAGGTTTGGTTGTGGTGGGTGTGCCCATCCCAGGGCAGGAGTACATGTACTTTGAGAACTCAAAGTCACTAGGCCTACTCCGTCATACTCAGTCATGCCAGTGTGATATGGTGTGAGTATGACCGAGTAGTGACTTTTAATTCTTGAAGTACCGTGGGGCATGAGTAGACCGAGCGTCTAACATAATTTGCTTCAACATGTTACCCCCAGAACTGTGGGGTCCGACCGCTCCTCTCCCATGAACCCCACAGAAAAAGAGCCTTTTTCGCCATAGGCTATGCACGACGTTTAACAGGGCCCGAACAACGATTCCATTCAAGTTGTGTACCCATAGAAATAATGCTTCATTTCCCCTAAGAGTTTTATGTAAGATACATGTAGCTTACATACGTTTGTTTTACGTACCAAGAAAGAAAAGGGCCAAAACCATGCTGTTTTCCAAAAAAGGCGCAAATATTTCCTGATCAGTGTCTGAGAGTGAACCCCGCATCTTGCTCCCTGTGCACCATGCATCAAATGTGGACGATTCCTGTTGAGAGACTTATAGGAAATTTAGAGCAAATTGGAAAGCGGCCGCCGAAAGCCTGATAGTACTTTATGGTACCTTAAACTTCCCAGCGCACCTGTGTAATTAGAAAGATAGTGGCGGCTTGCCGTTGGACATTTCCATGTTAAATAACTCAGCGCATGATGATATGTGTCCCCTAAACGAGGCTAGCTTGCCATTGGACATTTCCATGTTAAATAACTCAGCGCATGATGATATGTGTCCCCTAAACGAGGCTAGCTGTAATAAACCATTTTGTCCATGTCCAGTAGTATAATTGAATTTGTTGTGGAAGAAAAAAGGTTTGAATTGAAAACAATCATGTTATTAGAAGAAGCTAAGTGAACCAAAGAGTTTCAAAAAGGGGAAAATAGAGAAAGTATAAGTGGTAAACATTAAAATGCAACTTGAACTTGCTGACTTAATTTTGACATCCCACAAATTTCAAAACACGTATTCAGCCAATCACAAAAAAAGATAGCCATGGCAAAAATAATCTTTCAGCCAGGATACCAGTCAGTCACTGATATGACATCAAAGATTTCATTTAATATTTGACAAAGGCCTTGCGAAGTGGCAAATAGGCAAAGTGACCGACACCACCCTAAAGAATTGCCCCACACATATGTGACCAACAACCATAGAAATGAGGCAGCCATGGATCAGCAACTGAATTCTATAAACGGCTACATACATGTATCTGCTAAACGCTGAAACGCTTGAGCATGGCAGTATTGAATTGAAATACATGTAAATGAATGTCCCACTGATCACGCTGATGCATGTTCTTCAGCAAAGGGTACACGTACATGTAGTGTATTGTCAAGGCAATCTTAGACGGCCCTTCTGAATATTGGTTATTACCTGTCTCCATTCAGAGTTACACAATACGCATCAAGGTTTCTGTTGTGGTATTACACAAACTATGGAGGGCCCAAGAACACTGTGCAGACTGTCCAGAACTTGGAATCTGCTGTCACTACGTCCAGAAAGCGTAAGTTATTCTATGGAAGAGTAGGCAACTTCACCAGTAACTAATGGATTTCACATTTTCTGTTTATATTTTAATGTGTTCTCTTTCCATTTTAAAACTTTTTTTTGGGGGGGGGACATACAGATGCCACTTTTCCCATTCAGTTAGTTACTTATAAGCAATATTTTGAAAGAAAAAAGAAATGCAGGCTTTATGCATGATGATATTGGAGCTTGATCAAATTTTACTGATTGTCTGATTGTGACAATAATTCAGGTAAAAATGTCGCTCCTATTACAGGTAGTTAGGGTTTTGTTCAAGTGTATAGATGAATCAGATCAAGGCTACAAGTAGAATATCACTGTGGAACTCTTGCCGGGGACAGTGAAATGTCTACTGCCTTAAGAATATCTGGGTATTTGCAGGAAGCAGATGGTTGTGGGTACATTGTACAAGCACGAGGCAAAGTCACTTTTATTCAAGCCAGCCAGCTTTAAAAAAAATGAGAAATTAAAAACAGAATGGATGATTCAGGCAAAAAGGAGGCTCTGAAGTTGGCACTCTAAGTCATCTTTTTTAAGATTAATATTCAAGTAAAAAGTACCAATACATGTAGCTTCTGCATGATTTTTCTGCATGTAGGTTTGGTTATGTACAAGTAAACCAGAGACACAGCTACATGTATTTTTATTTTTCGGCGTTAAGTTGCCTTATTTGTTTTTCTTATTTGAGCTTCACCATGCACAGTGAGCCCACTTGGGTACCCAGCAGTGCATGCACAGAATAAAGTGGGTTATGGGTCATTCGAGAAAGTCAGTCTGTGCCTTATCATCAGTGCAGCAGCATGTCAGCTTAAACAGACTGAACATGCTGAAGCGGGGGTCATGTCGGGGACTTGTACTTTGTTCTGTAAGGACCTTGTCTCCAAATAACAAGCTGGCTGATTGTATTCATGGCAGGTTTTTGTGGTATGGACTATTGTGAGCATGTACATGTATTTTGCTAGGGGGGGTGTGTTATTTGCGGCAAATTCATAGCACCGTTCATTTTACGTGTACATGCACATGGGCCCAGCCATTGGTTACTTTCATAGGGGACATGCTTGCCTCTTGTATTCTCCGCTAATGAAAGTAAGTTCCCTCAAAAGAAAAACTGGAGCCTTTGAAACCGTTTGTTCATTACAGTATGTTTAATTGACCAAGTAGTGAATGAAATTCTTGGAGTGGCCCAAGCTGAACACTGTCTTTATTTCAACTTGAAGTTCGGTTAGGTACACATATGTCCATTCAATTAGGAATCTGGCAATAGATTGATGAAGTTTTCATCACTGGTGTGAAAAATCTTGAGAGGCACTGATTGCTCCCAACATAAGGCCAGACAGAGGCATTTTAGCCTCTTGGTAATTTTGTTGATTTACAGAGTGGCATACTGGAGGGCTTTTCACGATGGATTCTGTTCTATCAAATGGTGGTAGGAGGTTAGAGTCCCACACTCTAGTGCTGTTTCTTTGTTGGCAGTGTCTCTGTATCATAGAGATTTCTTGCGAAATTTTGGCTTTTGCAAGAATTAGTAGAGCTGGTTGCCACAGTAACGAGCAGACACCTTTGCTACATGTACTTCCCGTTTGGGTGTAATGTGGAAAACAGTTTTAAATGTAAAAACTCCCTGAAGCTAGCAAACCAAAGGTATTCACACTTTTATATATTAAATATATTTTACAAATAACACCTTGCTGTCTTGTGATGTTGGTTTTTAAACATCACTGCCCTCCTAACAGTGCCTAACATGATTATTTTCTGTAAAAAACAACACTTGAAACCTCGGATGACATTTGCAACTTTGCACCCGCCCCTCCATCAGAACCTCCATCATCGCTGAAGTGCCCCTCCTGACCCCATGAATCACTGCCATATTGTACCCCGATTGGGCCTCAAAGATAATCTTTTGCATCTACTCATGTCAACAGTTTTTCGAATGTTCCGCTCCGCCGAGTTTGCTCAGAAAGCAATGGACATGCTGGCCTTGACGGACGACGTTCAGCGCCTGCTGACCGTGATTGGCTACTCGGGCAAGGCCCTCTGGTTGCTTGTGGATCATCTCATTTGGTTCGGCAAAACCGACATTTACAGTGTAAGAGGTTGAAAGTCTATTTTAAGGATGGATTTGCACCGGGGAGATGTAAATTAATTTTGAATCTTTTTTTACCCTGCTCGACGTGTATTTTAACACCGTATACTCATTGTATCTCCCCAAAGGCTTGTGAGAAAAAAACCACAAGATTCAGATTCGAACCAGCCAGCCGACACCAGCAAGTTTAGTGGTCGAGTGGTTAAGACATCTGCACTAGTAAGCAGGGGGTCGTGGGTCCGAGTCCCACACGAGTACGCTTGTGTTTTTTTTTCACAAGCCTTCAGGGCGTACACTGAGTACACAGTGTTGAAATACACGTTGAAAGTAATTTCCTTTCACGGCAAATGTAATAAAATGAAATGCATACTATATGTCAGTGTCTTGAATACATGCCTGTACAAAGATTATTGATGCTAGACATGGCGTCTTGTTGAAGGTCTTCCACCATTCTTCATTTTACTCGCACAGGCTTCCCTGCTTTAACCACTTCTGTTTTGGTAAATCCTCCACCCTGAAATGCAGATAGGTTTAACTTTTTGGTGTGAGCTCTGTCGTTTTGATGGCTAATGTTGACATCTCTCCACATGAAAATTGGGACAAGCATTGTCGCAGCTTGCTTGGGGGAGGGGCATTTTGGAAGTTTTCTGCAAAAACAACTGTTCCAATTTTTTTCATCGATAAAAGAATTCTTACCTCAAAAGAAAGGGATTAGAAATCTCTGAACTGCTGATATATTTAGTTCCAAAATAAACTTTGTAACATAGTTTGTCCCCCCCCACCGGGCTGCTTATTATTTTGGTGCAAAATGCTAGGTTTGGGGGGCATTGTAGTGCCCTATGCATAGAAGTTGAGACAGTCATACATACCCATTAGAATGTGCAACTCGAGTGTAATAGCCCAAGATTTTATGCTGTCGCATTTCATTCAAGCCTGGTAGGAGGACTGTGATATTTATTAAATTGGACCCCGTTTCTTAAACAGTTTATTGAAGTGATTCACTGAGTCATATACATGGGTTTCATGGCATGAAAACTTACCTTGCTTAAGCTGATTTCCTTGGGGTTTTTAAATCATTGCAAAAGTCATAAAAACACTCTACAAAGTCTTGAGTGTCTTAATGCGAAATTGGACGAGTTGTCATTTGTTCACGTAACACAAAATTTACATACAACATGAGATCTGTTTTAACTGAGATCAACTATTACCTGGTGGTTTTCATTGTCAGGTTGACACCAAGAAGTGGAGTCAAAGGTCAGCGTGGTGTTGGTTGATTGCACTGGTGTCGCTGACCCTAAACGACCTGCGGAAAATCCAGCTTTTGGCACGGCGCGCCGCGGACATGCAGCGAGCTGGCACGATTAAGTCCATGCAAGGGGCGGAGCTGCAGCGGGACATACAAAAGGCCCACTTACAGCTCATCATCGATGCCAGCGACCTCTTGATCCCCCTGTCAGTGCTCGGATACGTCAGCAAGGGGTGGGGGGCTCTGGGTGGGGTGGTATCGTCAGTTGTAGCAATCCACGTTGTGTGGAACAAGAACGTTCATGGACAATAATGGCAACACAACACAAAAAAGTTTCCAGACTGGGTACGCAGCGTCTCCATGCCTCAACAGTGGTATGTCAGTGTTGCACTGTTTTATTCTAAATGCAAAAAGTCCATCCTGTAGTGTTATTCAGTGATCAGAATTTGTCCACATTCCTGTGATGGCATGACACGTGGACAGGTAGGGTGGATGTGCATCAAGCTGCAGAACGTGCGTATGGGAGTGCGGTGTCCCCCCTTGTCATGGCTTCTCGTCCATGATTAGTCCATGAATTTTTAATTCTACACTGGCAGTCAACGAAAATATAAACCCATGATTTCGTCTGAAAAATTGGTGCAGTAAAAAAAAAAAACAGGTCTTCTATTTCCCACAATGTGTTGTCAAGAAAAGATGAACCAGATACAGCATGTCATGCATCAGTGACTGCAGCGTCTCCTGGTTTTTGTCAGGTCATTGGGTCAAATGTGACAAGTACCGGTTTGGGCATTCCATTGGCTGTATTTATCAAGGTGGGTTATGCACACTGTACTACTGCAATAGCATATCTTCCAGTATGGCCTTTTTAGTAGAAGTGTAGCTGTGGACACGGCAGCACCCCGTAACTTTTGGATGACTGTCTGTATCATGCGTCTTCCAGCATTTGTTCTTATTAGCTTGTGTATTGGCCACTGAACTGGCCAAGTTCAATCAGCAACCATTTGCGGTTCACTGGTTGATTCACCAGGGTAACCTATGCACAAAATGTATGCTGGGTACCAGGTAGAATCGATTAGTGGTTGACCAACTGTCACTGGTTAAACTTTGGCACAGCTGCAGGTTTGAGAGATAACACCAACATAGCCTGATTCAAACACTCGGGATCAGAAGCCATTGGTGCAGTGGTGATACACTCATAAGCAGTTTGTACATGTATGCACCTGTCAACCAGTAAGTGCCTCAGAGAGAGGCATGATCTGACACGTATGAGCTTGTAAAACACTGCATTCTCTCAAAAGTTAAATTAGACACAAACAGTACAGGGGCCAGTCACATTAGCAGCATTTCCCCCATGGTTATAAATTTCTACAAGTGTATGAAACCCTCCCCCCCCAAAAAAAAATCCTTTCTATTCGTAAATAGGTATACAGGATGTAGTTTGATTGAAACAGTAGAAGACTGTTCTTACAAAGTTGTCATTCCCTTTGGCAGTCAAAAATGGGTGGCTCAAAATGTACCTGTCAGTTTTGATATTGAAGTGGACATTGACTGGCATTCCAAACCAGAGATCAATCTCTGGTCCCAATGCAGTTGCAGCGTCCTCGCTGATACATAACAGGTTGTGGCATGCTCAAGGCATGTAAACCCATCAGGGAAACAATGCAAATGTAATGTAACTTGATAGCTCTTTTGCTCAGGTTTAAGCCATTGCCAAAACAAAAAGTGAGTGTGATGTCACTAGTGAAATGGAATTTTCTCGTGTGGTGTGCATAGAGGCATCTATTTTACAACTGAAACTGAAAGAACTCATTTTCATCGTCAAGGAGTTACGAGCATAAACCATTTCAAAAATAGATCAAGACCAATCAATATAATTGGGTTTAAAATAGTTTTTTCATTATTTACACATTTTCGTACGCAAAATGCAGTTTGAGTTTTGCAGTGTTATCGGTCAGAATTTTTTGTGGTAACTATTATTTTATTTGAAAAATAATTTCTTGTTTTATTTGCTAAAAATGTTATCCAAAGACTGAAATATTTTGCCAACTGCAATAGAATCTGGGAAAATACCCAATGAAAAGGCTAATAATGCTGCCAAATTTGTCACCAAATTTCAGTCTATTTGAGACAGCAGCTGCATTGCTGGCGTCTAACCATAAACTCCCCAAAACAGTAAACTTTTACAAACTATGACTTCAAGCTTTGTTTTCCCAACATCGAAGATGTTCTTGCAGTAGTTATGTTGAGTCACTCGGAGTACGCAAGACGCCAGAGCTGGAGTGTCCTTCCAAGTTGGGAATGCTTCAAAGATGGTTTGAGTACTAAACACCCCAAAACCATACAGATGTTCGCAACGAAGTTGAAGTGGATCATGTGGGAATGGGGAATTTTACTTGAACCAAAACAGAAATATCGTTCATTTATTTTGCCTGTGTTTTGCAAAGAGCTACAAATAATTGCATCCATAGGGTACTAAAAGTCATTTAGAACTTTAAGAATTCCAGACTGTTAAGTTACATGTGAGGTGACTTGCGCAAATAATTTATTTGCAATTTAAATTTTAATACATGTACAAAAATTTATAACAACTTTTTGACATTTATGAATTTGTGAATAAAATTTGGAAGCAAACTAATCCTTGCAGTCTCATAGCTTTGACTTCTCCACCTCCTCCTTCGCTCGGTTTCTGTCTTCGATATCACTTTTCCAGTCATAGGCTTTGAATCCATTATGATCTACGGAGGAACAAACACAATGCCAACACCATACACTGCATAAAAATCCACAATTACTAGAAGGGGGATTTACTGTAACATACATGTAATTTTGTAACTGATTACAAGCTTATGAAAAAAACCCAAATGTTCTGTTATTTTCACGTTTATCGCTGTCGGTCTGTCCGAGCTGAAATTTAAATCTTGAGACAGTAGCAAAACAACAGAGAGGAGGGGCATTCCCTCTATCTTACACCCATTGGAGCCTATACAAAAAGAGTAATAAGTTGCCCAACGCACTTTCAGGTTGCAGACCTTGAAGGAATCTTACAGTGGAAGTCAAGCAGAACTGTAGACACGTTCACCCACACTATGTCCGTTTTCATGAGGATGTCCAACAGCAAGTGCTTGGCTAGCTGTTTTAGACGGCAAGTTCCTACTTGGAGCAAAAGCCATGGCAGACACGATTTTCGGACCAGATTAGTATTGACTTTTTCTAACAGAGTGAGTCGCGTATTTCAGATGTCCTTTTAATACCTGGCACGGTCCAGCCGGATAATCCATGAAGGCTAGAACCCCCGTCCACTTTCAGAGTTTCTCCCGTTATGTAGGCTGCGGCGGGAGACAGCAGGAAACAGACAGCAGCTGCCACCTGGCAATCACGATTTGACACAACAAACAGCAAGATGTTCAGACAAAGAGTTTGGACGAATGCATCTGAACATTTTGGAGTAGTCATCACCATTTTCGAAAAACCTCCCAGCTCAAAACTAAATTTGGTGAGAAAATGTTGCTTTTCTTTGCAGCAACAGCACGAGAGAGAGAAGCTGTCTGCACAGAGGCAGTTATAGTATACTCTACATATTTTTGTAACCTCGTTCACATTTTTGGATTCCCTGACTTCGGGTTTAGGAATAATTCCAAATGTTTAAGAATGTGCTTCAATCAGAGTGACCTGAATTTAAGCCTGTTACCAGTCACACCAGAGGTCACTTGCAAGTCAGATCAGAGATCAATCACCAGACAATCAGGGATCCAGTTTTACGAATCAGGGGATAAATAAAGACAAGGAAACTTAATTGGAGAGGCTTTTGACTATAAAGCGTGAGATGAAGACAGGTTGAGTTGCCATCGGTTAGTGATTGACTGGATCGCAACTCTGTTTTCAACCCCCAACCTCTGAAAAAGACGACAGGAGCAGACAGTCAGGAGCACACCAGCATGCAGAGAAACTCAATACAGACTTGCTTTCCAGCTACCCACCTCCTCAACTTTGCCGAGTCTCTTAGCTGGAATGGATGGGATTGCATTGGTGAAAATTGCTGGGTCTCCATAGTTGGCCGCCGCTGTGTCTGAGTAGATTGTACCCTGAGAGTGAAAACAAGGCAAATGCGGATTCTAATCTTGCCACAAAGTCATGCAAACAGAAGACTGGGGAAGAGGTACATGTATACCAGTGTAAGTATGTAGACATGATTCAAGTTGGCATTTCAAGATCTGTGGTCATGAGCAGTATGTGAATTTCAGCCAAAGGCGTTCAGAAAACATTGGAAGCCACTCCTGATCCCAAACTCTCATCTGTTTGTTTTCCAAGCCACTTGCTGCAATTTTGATTCACGATAGCATGATGTGATTTGTAACTGTCATATTTGAAGTGATTTTGGAGGTCACCTTTTCAAATTGACATTCTCCATGTACAAATGGCCCTATCCATGTAGAATGTAGCCAAGATAAATCAGCCAATATGTTTTTTTTTTTAAATCAAAGCCAAACCCTGTCTCGTTAGACTAACTATGCAATATTTTCACAAGAATTTGCACCGCATCTCAGTCTTTTGCAATATGTAAACGGGGTCCACCAATTTGCCACGACTGGCCATGTACAGCCAGGAAAACCGTACACAGTCCACGGACTTGCTAGCCATTGTGCATGCAAACAAACCAACTGGAACCATCGAAGCACAAGACGCACTCAAGTCAGCTGCCAGAGACTTTGGGTACTTAAGCTTTGTGGTTTAACCCATTATTACGTTGTGATTGCACAAGGCCTGAATGTGTTTAGAGATCCTCTGCCCAATAAACTTGTTTAAGTCGACATTTTGAAATTCCTTTCTGCATACTCACTGGTGCTACACTGTTGATTCGGATGCCACTAGCAGCCCACTCTAGGGAGGCTGTCTTGGTCAGATTCTCCACGGCTGCTCTGGCTGCTGCAGTGTGTCTGTGTCAGATCGGGATAAAAGGCAGAGAAAGAGTATTATTTGTATCGCCTCCAATGTCAAAGTAAAAAACTGTTTTGTGAATTGGCAAGAGAAGCTATTTTGGCATGGCAGAGACAGCTTTGATACTTTTTTGCAGAGGGTAAGTAACAGTTTGATTCCCTGTAAAATCTAATGTCTGACCAGTTAACGGCTGAGTGAGTGCACCAAGTCGATGGGGGTCAGTGGATTGTGAGGACGAGTGCGCACATCACGTGTTACTACCTGCATAAAATGCTGAGGTGCGGGTACATGTCCTCCGTTAAACTGTCATAGAAGTTCATTGTGGGTTTGCATGTTCTCTGGTCGGAACCTGTTAAGTGAAAACTCACCCCATAGCTGGAAATCCTTTCCACATGTCCACAATGATGTTAACTATGGCTCCCCCGTGTTCAGCCATCCACTTCTTGTAGACTAGAGAAAATACAAAATAAATCAATCAAATATATAAAAGCAGCTTGAAAATTTGTCTGTAAAGTGTACTCTGAGAATGAGTTTTCTTTTCGTTTTTTCCCTTACTTGAAACAAACTTAAGAAAAAAGACATAAAAGGGAATATCAGCAAGAAAGTTTCAATGCTTTTTATTTTACATTTCAGGTGGTGAGCAGGATGATGTCATCAGAGACACAGTCATTTTGAATCATAAAGAAGACAGTTTATGATGAGACTGATTTTAAAGTAACATATTGCTTTCTTTACCCATAGTCATGGGTTTCTGATGTAAGCATTGCCACTACACCCAATTTGTATTTTAGCATTTGCTTTTTTTTTGGGGGGGGAGGAGATACCACTGCACTTGTTAGGTTCAGGAGGTGTTTTGATCAAATGACTCCTTTCCTTTTTGTGCAACGGTGCCTACACAGAGCAAAAGAGGCAAATACGTCACAGCCATCACCTTCTCGGCAGCACAGAAATGTCCCCGTCAGGTTTGTTTCAATGACGGCATTCCAGCCCTTCAGCCTGACGTCCGCCAGCAGGCTCAGAAACTGACCCCCGCCGTTGTTCACCAGATAGTCTATCTTTCCATAGTGCTGCAGCGTAGAGTCCATCAGCGATTTGACCTGAAACTCCCAAGGAACCAAGTGCAAAGGTTGACAGCAAATGGAGAAAAATAATTGTTTCTTAGCTCTGACTGCTCTGTGGGGATACTCCACTGAGCCTCGACATTTGAGGCATTTACCGGAAGTAGGCGAACCAAGGAACATGCACGAATTTCAAAGCATGTGACAGTTAACAAAATGCAGACTGTAATAAACTTTTTAAAAAAGAGCTCCAGAAGTTCAAAGCCTTTCTTTTTCGTTTTCTGACAAATTAGTAATTTTAAATAATTGTGGATTACCGATGTTACCAGTTCCAGATATGAACAGTCTGGTATTCATGTACCCAGATCCCATGGACATCCTTTCCCTGAACCCTCCAACATCAACACCCATGCAGTATTTAAACCTCATGATGTTTCCAGGCCTCACTTGAAATTGCCTAGCTTCTGTACGTCTTCTTGAATTCACACAAAACCTCCCAAGCCTTCTGTTGGATTTTGATTTTTTGAGGGATCTGGGAAGGCCCAGGGTTCAACTACCTTGAACTTCTGGAATCCTTTCTTACATCAAAGGCTGACTGACTGTCACAGCCTCCAAAACACTTGGGCAATTAGTGCATGCGAGTCGATGTCAGAGCACGAGGGCTGTGCGCAATCTCACTGATGAATCTGTGACATTACCTCATCTTCTTTTCGAATGTTACACTTGACTTCTCTGATATCAGCTGTGGACTTCTGGGGTATCTGTTCTTTCATCTCCTGGACAGCCTTTTGAAGTCTTTCCAGATTCCGAGATGCAATTATAACTTTACATCCTGTTTTGTGATGACAGGAAAGGCATTGGCCATTATAATCTCATTATTTATTTCAACTGGGTCCAGAGCTAGGCATGCCAGATCATGTGAAGATGGAGACATTTTTTTGGTGGTGTTGATTCAGAGTTCAGTCCCATGACTGTGGCCTGGATACTTGCCTTGCTGTATCCTTGGCCACATTCGTGGGGCTAATTCAGAGTGTAGCCCCACGAGTGTGGCCTGGATTCTCAACTGGATTCGCAGAGTCTCCTTTTTTTTTGGATTGACCTTTGTGGGGCCAAAGAAAGATACGGAGGGAGTCCTGTAAACTGGCCCCCAGTCCGGGGCTAGGCCGGCCTAGGCCACACAAACTGACAAATATCAGTCTCCTAAACGTGCCTGACAATGACATTTATTTTAGCATGTTTAGTGATAATCATGACAATGACAATTGTATGCTATGTCATGTACGTTTCAAATCAATTATGTAAATCATGATTCATGTCAATACTTTCAAACAGTTGACATGCACCCGTTTCAATATGTTCAAAGCACATGAGTGATATATCTTCCTTACCTAGATAAAGCAGCTCTTGACTTATTGCTCTTCCAATACCAGTAGCGCCTCCAGTCACAATAGCAACTTTATTACTGAAAAGACCTGAACGAAAGACACTTGAAACCACCGCCATGTTGATTGACCCGTGCAGTGTGAGTTCCCACGACCTCTGATGTTGGCACCAGACTAAGGTTGCGTCCGGAAGTTATGGCTGCGACTACAAATACAATGTGTGCTTATGAATTACTGCAGCCACTTCACATAGACGTAGAGATCGCCTTGTTGCGGCAGGTTCTTTGGCTCAGGTGTGTGCTGCAAAAATTAATGGCTGTGGGGGTGTGGGTCAGGGTTGCTTGGTGCAGATTTTGTTGAGCTGCTGGAAAATTTGTCTTCACGCGCGCCTCCATGTTTAAAAACAGTGAAATGTGCCACCGACTACGTTACATTGTGTTGAAGCTGAGTCAAATGACATTTAAATTTAATTTCAAGTTCAAATTTACTGTGTCCACATAATACAAGAAATTGTGTTCCATCCACCAATTCACTCACTAAAATCTTACATTAAAGCCAAGAACAAAAACCCTAAGAAATTTATATAACAAAGTACAGGTAACATTAATTAATTGCAAGAGATAATTCTCTTAATTTACAAATTAAAACGAAATGTGTATGTCTAATATGTTAACCATGCACGTGGTTGAGTTCGGACTTTACAGTTCAAACACTGGGGTCATCCCTCCCGGAGCATTAATACATGTATATAGCAGAGCAAGGCAATTTAGAGTTATTTATTTGTCTTTCTTCAAAAAGCGTGTTACAACTTACAAGCCCCAGAATGTAGCGCCCCCCCCCCAAAAAAAAGGTTCTGGCATCTGCTCATGCCTGACATTATTTGTTTATGATTCGCCAGGACCGTGAATTAGAGTCAAGTGTTTTCAACCCCATCAGGATAGCTGCACAGGTTCTCTGTTTTCTGAGTTGTTGTACCGTAGTATGCATGTCATGCATGACGGAAGGACACAAACCAGGCCTGAGCCGGCCCTATGATCGTGCTGGGCCGTGGTGATAAGCATGACATTAATGTGTGCGGCTAGCAACTCAAATTGAAAGACAGAACATGTCTACAGTCTCAGAGAAAAGAATTCAGTTTCCCTAAAAGGACTTTTCAGTGTTCCTACTGACACACTTTTGGGTCCAACCCAACCTGAAAACGGGTTGTCGAGAAAACACGAGGCTGGCTATGTCTTAGTTCATGTCCAGAAAAAGGGACTTCCAAAGGTATGGTTACGCCTATTGTCAGCTGGACACCCACCCCCCCCGGTGGGGACACACCTGAACCTGACTCTCGACAGCTGATGCAGCCATAGCTGCCAGGATCCTCATTATACCCAAGCAGTGGCGTGACAGCAGGGGCCCCTGGTCAGGGCCCGGCCGGTGGAGGTCGGCATGCTTAGTCCCGGTTCCCCAACCCCTCGCCCATTTGAAATTTTGAAAATGAGTACACAAAATACAGAAGCCACAATTTATCGCCGTAGCCCTCCATACACAAGGTGTACACTTCTCTGCCCCACCCCCTGCAATTCACCCTAGTTGCGTACCAGCCGCTGTCACCCTACACTTTAAATCAGGATGGTGCTGGAAAAAAATATAATGGTATTGCCTCAAGACGAGATGTTTGTTTTGCAAGCCTAGGACTGGCCATCAACACAATCGTGCCAAGAATTCTTTTCAAGACAGACAGACAGCTTGCTTCAGGAATCACACCCGTCTGTCCTTGAGATCGTAATTGAGTACTTGCAATCCAAGTCTTCCCCTTGCTCTTTCCGATCAGAAAAGTCGGTCATGCTTGATGTAACTCCATTTGCCACCATTATTGTTATCACGTACGTTGTATCGTTGGTCCTATAAGATGGCCAGGCAGTGCAGACAGTCTTTTCGGATTCACCTGGTTGAGCTGTCTTTGGTGGTATGTTTAACTTGGCTCGTGTTTATTTACTACCGACCGTGTCCAACGAC